TAGAAAAGCTTTAGCATACGAACTACATGATCTTTGTGCTAGGCTTAGGATTGGGTCTTGTCCATCACATCATTCTCCTAATGATGTGATCCCGTTATCAATGACATCCAATGTCCGTGGTCAGGAAACCGTAACCATCTATTGATCAACGAGCCAGTCAACTAGAGGCTTACTAGGGACATTGTGCTGTCTATGTATCCACACATGTATCTGAGTTTCCTATCAATACAATTATAGCATGGATAATAAACGATTATCATGAACAAGGAAATATAATAATAACTAATTTATTATTGCCTCTAGGGCATATTTCCAACAGTCCAACATGAAAAAAAATCACGCATATGTGAGATCCCTTTATATCACCACCATTGCTTTGCATTTTACAAGTTTTTTTAAACAAGCCAAAAAGACTTTCCATTTTCATTGATTAAGAAGAGGGTGTGAATTTCTCGGTTAATTGACAGAAAAGTGAGCTAAAATGGATACAACCCAACCCACATAACATGGGCACCACCGGCCAACCTGGCCACCAGCATGGGACACCGAGCTACAAAGAAGAAAAGACATCATCGAGGAGTCGCAAGCGTCATCATCATCATCATTGCGGGTTACCAAACTAGCTACTCTGACTTCACCATAGAGCTCCATCAGCGAAGCCAAACCGCAAGCAGCTGGACAGAAGCCACGACGGCACATGCCAATAGATGGCCCCACACACAAACAACCGACAACTCCAACTTTGATGACGAGCTTCGCATGGGTAATATGCAGGACTTGTGTCGACCATGCCCTTCGCAAATGACCATCGAGTGTCTGTCGTCATCACCACCTCGACCCGCTCCACCGCAACTCCGACTTCAAAGCAACTAGGCAAGTATAACCATGTATGTTAGCATGTCTTGAATTCCAGATGCCTCACAAGCCACACCCATGAAATGCAAAGAGATCGTATACATTGAAGATTTGTATGAAGCAGACATTCATGCGTCGAATATCATGTATTACTAGTGTGCTCCACCTCTACATACTCGTAGCTAGTGACACTAATCGACCCATTGAGATATCAATGTCTGAGGGTTATCCGCTTCGGGTTTCAAACTCTCTTGGTCTGGGTGCATATATGGAGCTATCATCATGAATGCAATAATTACTAACTCGCTAGTAGTACAGTGCCATGTAGTAGCTGGGGCTAGCCACAGTGGGAGTAACTTCAGCAGTAACTTCAAGTCCAACTCAGCAAATTTGTCTATATGGCAATGAGTTAATGAAGAGAGAAGTAGTTCTAGTAACTTAGCTAGTTACTATAACATCACATGTCCCAATGCATTATAAGTCTATAACCTAATAAATGGAGCTTTGCATGACACCACACCTATGTTACTAACCACTATGAAGGTAGTAACATAGTCTAGGGATATGTGTATGTTACTCTCCATTATGGCTAGTCTCAAGCAATTGAGATGCATGATAGAATGGTCCTCGCCTAACGTTGCATCTTAAATTCTAGAAGCCTCTGAACCTATAACAAGGTTTTGTTTTCTTTTTCTTGTGGATATCTTTGTAATGGAAAAGTGAGTTCAAGACTTCATCAACCGTAAAATTAGTATAATTTTAAGCCGTTATGTGCCAACTCTCATGACATTGAGAATTTACATGCTACTTGTATATGTCAAATTAGTAGTTGGCTTGGTCGTATTATGTATTCCTTTACTTCACTACACAGAAAGGTACAAAATGAACACATACAATGCATGTTACCGATCCATTTAAAGAGCATCGAAGGCCGGTAGCTATTTCATAGTTTCTTGGATTTTCGTTACAAAGCATTATACATGTAATATTGGTGAATATGAATAAAGTCAAGGGTATCTCTCTAAAAAAAAGCAGTCGATTCCATCTCTCGTATGTGACAGTTTGCATGCTTCTCCTACTCGCTTTGCCGACTCGGTAACTCCCCAGACGACAGGTCTCCCGTATCCAAATTCAAGATTGCATCGCAATATATCCTTCCTCTTCTGCATGCATGTCCTATCTAGCGTAGTACATGGTACCGCAATACTATTTGCCCTAGTTATCTAATAGCTTTTTCTCTAATTTTTGATTGATCTAGGTTATGGGACGATGCATTTGCCTTATATATTTTTCTAAGTGATTTTCCCTAAACTTTGCTTGATATACACTATGGGATGATGTTTCTTAAAACAATATTGATCACCAATTGCTGTACAGCTATGGACCTCACGCTATGTTGATATAATTCTTTTATCAGTAAAGCATGCCAGGTGAAGGAATAAAATTGTACAACACTAGTAAGAAGAGACTTGCCAAATAATTTGATGCCCCCTGGGATCCTGGAAAAGCTAAGTCCGTCCGAAAATTATTTTTGAAATTTGAAACATGACATGTGTTCATCATCAAAAAATATTCAACAGATAACATACACTATCTGAAACACAGTATCAACAATGCTGAATCGCTATTTTGCGAGAATGTTAGTGGCATATGAGCACCCAAAGATTCAACTTTTTGTGCAAAACAACTCACACGCTTCCACCTAGCCTTTCAGTCTAATCTGACCACTCGTCAGTGGTCAGTTGGTCCCTCGCTATCGGCTACGTGTGACCTGAATGTACGTGCTCCATCTACCTCTGACTGGTGGGCTTCATACCCGTCAACGTTAACCTAGTAGCATGGCTGCTTCTCTGTCACGACTAATGGCATGCAAACAACCCGTGAGCAATGATATACACCACTGATGTGCTGGTCACAATCAGTAAATAGTGAATTGTCATGTATACATTTTTTGTAGTGGTATGATGTATCCTCGCTCGGACCAGAGGAGGTCAAAGAAATAGCTTCAGATGGAGGCCACAACGATGAGCTACTCTCACTGGTCTTGTTTGATGCCATGAATTGCTTAAAAATAGTAATTGTTTGTCTGACAATAGACTAAGAATGTATTCTAATAAATCTGAAAATAAAGGTAGTATCAGTTGCCAAGCTGCATAAATACATCAGTTGGTCGGCATTATACCCTCAAAATTCAATTTATCTCTATTTTTTAATATAAAACCATCAAAGCACTTGGCCATGTTAACAATGAAGCACCTGGTGCAAGGCTTAATGACTTCCAAACATGGTGTAAATCTACGGAAGAGCTCAATTAGTATTGTGGATCAGTTTCCCTGTCAAACTTTCAAATTTTAAGTTTTAATACTCCTCGCACTTTCCAATTCAGCATAATCAATTAAGCAAGTAAACATTGCTCTGGTTTCTTAGTTTTGGCAAATCTGCACCTGGTATTTGTTAATGTCTCTAGGGTTGCAAGCTCATTTTCCGCTTCTGCTTCTCAAAGTTGGAACCATAAGGAGCAATCGACAGCTGATTTAGATGTCAACATGAAAAAAAATGCGCATATGCATAATCCCTCGGTATAACCACCGTCAATCTGCATTTGGCAAGTTTGGTCATGTGTGCTGGCACATCATGAATTCCCGCTGCCTCACAAGCCACACCCATGAAATGCAAAGAGATCATATACAGTGAAGATTTGTATGTAGCAGACATTCATGCGTGGAGTATCACTTACTACTAGTGTGCTCCACCTCTACACAGTCGTAGCTAGTGACACTAATCGACCCGTTGAGATATCGATGACATGTGGTTATCCGGTTTGGATTCCAAACTCTCTCGATCTGGCTACATATATGGAGCTATCACCATGAATGCAATAATTACTATCTCGCTAATAGTACCATATAGTAGTTGAGAGCAATTGTGTGCTAAAGTCCAGAAGCCTCTAAAGCCTATAACAAGGTTTTGTTTTGTTTTTCTTGTGGATATCTCTATAAATGGAAAAGTGAGTTGAAGACTTGATCAACTGCAAAATTCAATTGTAATTTTAAGCAGTTATGTGCCAACTCATGACATTGAAAATTTACATGCTACTTGCCTAGGTCAAATTAGTAGGGGGCTTGGTCGTATTATGTATTCATTTACATCACTACACAGGAAGGTAAAAAATAAACATTACCAAAGCATTTAAAGGGCATTGAAGGCTGGGAGCTATGTCAAGTACTCCATAACTCCCGTTCTAAGATGAACATGATCCAATCCACCGGGAGGATGCACCTGCCCGACATTAAAAAGATCAGAACAAACGAAGATCGCAGGAGGACATGTAAACAGCAATGCAAGCGCTCGAAACTTGACCGCGGCTAACTACAAAAATTTATGGGGCAGACTTACAGATTCGCCTGGGAAAAAAATAGTTTCAGTCAAATTTCTCTCCACCGCTGGATCATCCTCTTTATCTTCTTCGCCATCCTCAACCTCTCCTTGAAGGTCCTGTCCAACGACCCTGAGCTTCAACCTCATCTTCATGTACGCCGGCCACAGCAAACTTTAACAGTAGCTACAAGCCTACAACATGCTCTGTCGCAAGGGTTTGATCTCTATAGCTTCCTAACTTCAACCTGTCGTCTGAAGGTCCTATCCGACGCCCCTAAGCTTCAACCTCATCTTCATGTACACCAGCCACCGCAATGCTCTGCCACAAGGGTTTGATCTCTATAGCTTCCAGAGGAAGTGCCTCTGCGTTGCCACCATTTGGCATAGACTCTTCCGTACAACACGCTTTTGTTTCAAGGGAAAAATGAATGAATAATTAAAAGAAAAGATGAATATTGGCTTCAGCCAGTGGTTGAAAACGTCCGTAATCCAGCAGTTCTCTGACTGAAAGAGAACCAAGAAAAACAAAGCCAGTATCAGACATTACAAATATTCAGCCAGAAACAAAGTACAATACTAAATCCAATGGAAAGGTCTGAGCCCACATTAGTGCAAACATTAGGAGAATTCTTTTCTTTAGAACTTGGATAACAGGTACAAAAATGCATATTCTGACAACATATTCTGATCTCTCATTCAAGAAAACGAAAACCAAGCACAGATGCTGTCACGGCATGGAGTTGGCAGCTACCCAAACAACACATGAATCACAGGACTTGGGCGGCGGTGTTCAGCTTCTCGGCTACCGCGATCTGAGTCCGTGTGATGCTTGACAGGTATACCAGCGCAAGATTGTCCTGCAACAGTAAGGAAATATGACCAACGGTTAGCCGTGGGAGAAACCAAGATAGCCATTTATCAGCACAGGAAAAACTAGTTACCTGAATCTTGTCATTGAAGAGCCTGTCAAAAGATGCTGGAGACAGCTTTGGCATGGAGGAGACGGTGTCAGCAATGAACCTGCCTATCTTGTTGTCCGGTGCCACACGAGCTTCCTACAAATGATTCAACAAACTTTCTTAAGAACCTACGGTCAAGATACAAAGTACATGAACGCCAAGTGGCAGGACAATTTCTTACCACAACATCATCAACATATTTATAGATCTCGTCAATAAGAGCATATAACTTTTGCATTGAAGACTCCATTCCTTCCAAATCGTTGGGGAGCTTCTCCACCATAGTAGATTTCAGCATTTCAACTGTGTCAACAGCAACAGCAACATGTAAAAAAATGTTTTCCTTGTACAACAGATATTATTTCTGAAGATGCCAGAATATCAATTACAGAATACTTTCAATAAGCATTCCAAATACTAATGTACAAAACTAATGCAAATGAAAAAATTGAATTATTTTCTTCCAAGAACAAAGAATCCTTCCACTAAAATTGCCAGTCACCACTATTTTTACACAAAAACAGAAGAGTTCAGCAGCATAAGCTATTTTCAAATTTACTGGCAGACAAGTTATTGACCTCATCAGGTTTTTGTTGCTCATAGATGCTTACAATACCTCATTTAGTTCAGTGCAATATATTCATCATTCTAAACAATTTATTCTATGTTATTACTACAGAAAAAAGGTTCTGAAAAGTAAGCTACCAGATCAACAGAGTAGATTTACATATAGTACATAATGGAACCATTCTAAACGTGAAACTTACATCCAACTTTCTCTGCATCAAGCATCTTCAAGTCCAGAGGAATTTCTTGAAATTGTGCGGCAAGGTGCCTATCTCCAAGAGACAGGTTGGATGAGACATACGCTTTGATGGAAGCCTCCCCCATGGTGAAGCCAGTGTCAACAGTAAGATGAATAGGGCTCTGTACTTCTCTTGAATAAAATTCGTGGATAAGCGTACTACCGCCTGAAACACCAAAGCCAGTGGAGAACCTGCATGCAGATAATATGATATCACCATGCGAGCAAGGTGGGGTATTTGTTTGATTCAATAGCTACTTTCTTTTGTATGAATATAAATCTCTCCTCTTGCAAAATTAAAGCCTAGTGACCTCGCTGGATGTTCTTTTGCTGCTACCCTTAATCATTGGTTAGAGCGACTCTGTCAACAGCACTAGACAGAACATGATTCAATGACAACACCACCAAACATAACATTCCATATGACTGGACAAATATCCAACCAGGTGTCTATGCAAACACAAATACATGGGCTGTCATATGTACAAGCTGAAGTCAATTTGTGTTATCAAAAGAAAAACTCAAGTCAATCTGTCAACAAGAACAATATCAATCGGACATAAGAACTAAGCGCTTCCATCCATTGCCAAAATTACAGTGACAGGTGCTATCAAACAAACTCATAAAGTTAAGAATAGTTGTACAATTTTGTCATTTGATATGTCTCACAAGTTCCATCTACTCAAGACCCAATAACTGTCTATGCGCACATGGACACAGAACCAATGTCAACCTGTGTAAAATATGCACCAACCAATCATAATGTTGCACTAGCATATAAGACGGTATTAAGGCAACAGAAGAACATTATGAAGAAATACATACCATCCCACAAGCACTTCCTTGGGGTTCACCTTCTGGTGCGACGCGTACATGTTGTGGTGGTACTCAATGTCGAGAGCAACCTGTTCACACACGCACACATCACCAATAAACGTCAGAACCGCAGGCTCAACTAACAAACCCTAGATCTCTGGCTAGAGTTCGGCAGAGGCTACAGTAAAAATCGCATCGCTGAGAGCTTTTAGCCCAGCTTCGGGCTGGGGGGTACGGGGTGGGGGAGGTAACCTGGTCGGCGGACTCGCTGTGGGGGACGACGTAGGCGTTGCGGACGTGGACGGTGCCGTCGGGGAGGACGGAGCCGAGGAGGGTGCCGATGACGCGCTCCGCCTGGTCGGGCCGACGCACGAAGCTGTCGCAGATGGTGAAGACGACGACGGCCTCCACCCGCGCGGACGAGGAGGAGGACGAGGACGACGGGAAGAGGAGCGCGGGGCCCGCACCGCAGGCGGAGGTCTCCGGCGCCGCCATGGAGCTCGGTGAGGGCAGCGAGGCGAGGGGGGAGGAGCGGCGGCGCGCGGCGGTAGAGGAGGGGGACGAGGGAGGAAGGATGGGGGAAAAGGCTCGCACTCGTTTAGTCAGCTAGGGTTTTGTTTGTCTTTGAGATTCGGAATTTCAGATGGAGGGGGTGCTTTGCTTGTTCGAGAACGTAGCGGGTGTGCTACCCGGTTCTTCTCTGGCCTTGTACTTGTACTGTTGTAGTGCCTCCGGTTCTTTTCAACCTACAAAAAGATCTACCATGAAAAAAAACATGTATCTATCATGATATAAAATGTCAGACTTATATTCGCTTTATAGGTTTAGAACAACCAAGCAGGAGGATACGTCAACTGGTTCAATCAAGTATGACTAATTATACCGGATATTCTTTAGTCTTGCAATGTTTATTTTTGAGCAAAAAAAATCGATCTTTTTATCTCAAAGTTCAAAAGAAAAAACGCTAGCCGTTAATTATGTGTTTGACCACCTACTTGCGCTTTTCTAGCTTAGCCACAAATAGCGCAATTAGGCGTTAGTATTGTAGCATGAAGAAAAAAACTATACGAGGTGGCCTAGCCCGTTAAACCACATGTCCATCTTCCTATTCTCCTACTAAAGCTCCTATGTGTGCACAGTCGACAAAAAAATCTAGATTTCCTCCTCACGCCGCATATCCTCTCTCTCTCTCTCTCTCTCTCTCTCTCTTGGTGCATGATGTCGCTCTCTCCCTCTTCCTCTGCCCCTTGCTACACAGATGGGAACCAGTAAGTGTTGAGGCATATCTTTCTCGATGTGGTTTTGGTGATTGATGACAACGTGTTTGCGGACTAATCGTGTGCTTTGAGCATTTCAGAGATTCATCCTTGGCACGAGACGATTTCTTCCCTTCAGAGTGTCATTCAAGACGGTGTAGCTCTTTCGTTTCTCTTTCGATGGTCTAGTTGCGTAGAGGGCACCGTACTATCAAGAGGGGGTCCGCTGTGGTATTGTTTGGGTGGAATCAACACGTACACTTCCGCTTCTCTCCCTCCGAACCCTTCCGCTTCGATGGAGAGATCTTTTCTCTACTTGTGTGTCTTGTCTGGGTCCCAGCGGTAGTACCGTGCTACACAGCGGTAGTACCGCTGAGGGGTCACAAGCGGCAGTACTGCTCCGCAGCGGTAGTACCGCCGGTGACTCCGCAGCTGTACTACCGCTGGCTTGCCAGGTTCCTACCATCTCGACTCGAGGGCTCTTTTTCTCGTGTCGGGTTTTGCGGCACTGGTTGCGGCAGTAGAGGCGGTAGTACCACTTCTCAGCGGCAGTACCGCCCCTACCACCGCGGTAGTACCGCTCTGGGTCCAGGTCCCTGCTTCTCTCCTTTGCGTGGCAGTACCGCTAGGTGGAACGGCAGTACCGCTGGATCAGTGGTAGTACCGCCCACCCAAGCGGTACTACCGCCCTCTGCGGGGCTGTTTAGTGGGGCAACGGTTGGATTGTTGCCCCCACTATAAAAGGGGGTCCCCTTCTTCCCCGTTGACCTACCTCTTTCCCCCCAAGCTCCATTAATGCTCCAAGCTCCATTTTCACCTGATCTATCTCTCTAGCCAATCAAACTTGTTGATTTGCTCGGGAGTGGTTGAGAAGGCCCCGATCTACACTTCCACCAAGAGTTTTTGATTCCCCCACCTATCCCTAGCGGATCTTGTTACTCTTGGGTGTTTGAGCACCCTAGACGGTTGAGGTCACCACGGAGCCATAGTCCATTGTGGTGAAGCTTCGTGGTATTGTTGGGAGCCTCCGATTAAGTTGTGGAGATTGCCCCAACCTTGTTTGTAAAGGTCCGGTCGCCGCCTTCAAGGGCACCAATAGTGTAATCACGGCATCTCGCATTGTGTGAGGGCGTGAGGAGAATACGGTGGCCCTAGTGGCTTCTTGGGGAGCATTGTGCCTCCACACCGCTCTAACGGAGACGTACTTCCCCTCAAAAGGAAGGAACTTCGGTAACACATCCTCGTCTTCACCGGATCCACTCTTGGTTATTTCTTACCTTCACTTGTGCAAGCTCTTTAGTGTTACTTCTCTTGCTTGCTTGCTTGTTTGTTGTTAGTGCATCATATAGGTTGCTCGCCTAGTTGCACATCTAGACAACCTATTTTGATGCAAAGTTTAATTTGGTAAAGAAAAGTTAAAAATTGTTAGTTTCCTATTCACCCCCTCCCTAGTCAACCATATCGATCCTTTCAATTGGTATCAGAGCCTCGTCTCTTTATTAAGGACTTTACCGTCTGAAGAGTATGGTTGATACCGTAGACAGTGTGGAGGAACACTCCGGTGTGAATCCGATCTCGTCTACGGGCGATGGGGAAACCTCGGTCTCTCATGAGGAGTTCAATGTGGCCTTGGAGACATTGAAAACCTCCATGATGACCGAGGTTGAAAGCATGTTTACTAAATTCCTTGAAGGGCTTAAACTATCCACCGCACCGTTGAAAGTGGGTGTCGGTGTCAAAACCGGCGGATCTCGGGTAGGGGGTCCCGAACTGTGCGTCTAGGCCGGATGGTAACAGGAGGCAGGGGACACGATGTTTTACCCAGGTTCAGGCCCTCTTGATGGAGGTAAAACCCTACGTCCTGCTTGATTAATATTGATGATATGGGTAGTACAAGAGTAGATCTACCACGAGATCAGAGAGGCTAAACCCTAGAAGCTAGCCTATGGTATGATTGTATGTTGTGATTGTCGTCCTACGGACTAAAACCCTTTGGTTTATATAGACACCGGAGAGGGTTAGGGTTACACAAGGTCAGTTACAAAGGAGGAGATATCCATATCCGTATTGCCTAGCTTGCCTTCCACGCCAAGTAGAGTTCCATCCGGACACGAGACGAAGTCTTCAATCTTGTATCTTCATAGTCTAACAGTCCGGCCAACGGATATAGTCCGGCTGTCCGGAGACCCCCTAATCCAGGACTCCCTCAGTAGCCCCTGAACCAGGCTTCAATGACGATGAGTCCGGCGCGCAGTATTGTCTTCGGCATTGCAAGGCGGGTTCCTTCTCCGAATACATCACAGAAGAATTTGAATACGAGGACAGTGTCCGACCCTGTAAAATAAGTTCCACATTCCACCGTAGAGAGAATAATATTTTCGTAGATCTAATTTGCTGGCTTGTTTTGGTAGCATGACATTATGTCATGGCCCGGTGATTATTCGAACCGTTCCCTTTAACCAGCCCCGCACATAACGCGAGGCAGTTTTTCAACACGTCTTGTCAAAGCAGAGATCGTGCCCCCTTATTATGGGATTCTCATCAATACGGGCGTGGGTAACCCAACCGCGCCATCAATTACGGTGCTTGAGGGATAAGTGAGTTTTACCAGGCAAGTGGGAATGCTCAGTTTCGTCCGCCCATATAGAGGGATAAGGATTCACCTTCCTATCCACGCCTTCTTCCTCCTTTGCTCATCCGTTTTCGCACATTCGAGCTCTAGCGCCCAAGTCCACACTTCCCACCTCAACCTTCTCCAACCATGTCCGGAGCGGGAGGCAGGTGGATGGTCTCCTCCGTCATGGAGGGAGACATCAAGAAACTGAGGAGAGCCGGATACCTGCCCGACGACATCACGCACCGGCTCCCAGATGAGGGGCAGCTCATCCCCACCCCCAGGCCCCATGAGAGGGTAGTATTCCTCACCCATTTCCTCCGCGGACTGGGATTCCCTCTCCATCCATTCGTCCGGGGGCTCATGCTCTATTACGGCCTGGATTTCCATGATCTGGACCCAACTTCATCCTCAACATCTCGGCGTTTATCGTCGTGTGCGAGGCCTTTCTCTGCATCAAGCCCCACTTCGGCTTATGGTTGAAGACCTTCAACGTCAAGCCGAAGGTTATGGGCGGCCGCCAGGCAGAGTGCGGAGGCGCCATGGTGGGCAAGATGCCCAACGTTACATGGCTCGAGGGCTTCTTTGTGGAAACCATAAAGGGGTTCGGGGTGGTTCTACATCACCGAGCCGCGTGACCCTGCATGGGCAGCGGCCCCCGAGTTCCGATCTGGCATCCCCATGCGGCTCACCTCCTGGAAAGAGAAGGGCCTGTCCTGGGGTAGTTCGGAAGAGCTGACCGGACTCCAAACATGTATTCAAACCATGGTGAACAAGAAGCTCAAACTCGTCAACGTAGTCCAGGTCATGCTCGTCTGCCGGATCCTCCCGTGTCAACAACGGGCCTTCAACTTGTGGGAGTTCGACCCGGCCCAGCACCAAACTCTGAACAGGCTCTTCGATACAACACACGAGGATGCCTGGAAGGTGCTTTTCAAGGGCACCGAGGTCCCCCACCCATTACTGAGGATCGCAGATTCAGCGCGAAGTGCCAAGCCAGTGCGGTAAGCTGCTGTACCTCTTACAGGATACTTGGTTTTCATGGTTTGACTCTATGCGGGATCTAAGCTCCCGTACCTTTGACAGGACTGGCGGAAAATGGCCGGACAGATCGACTACCCGGCTCCCTTGCCCGAAGGCCCAGCAAACGCTCTCCTGATGGAGATGCTGACTCCGGCTCCTTACAAGGTGCCAGAGAAGACCAGGAAGGCCAAGGGAACCCGAAAGAGTTCCCGGCGCCAGGTGTTATCGGACTCATCGTCCGATAACTCTGCGGCACACTCCTCCCCCGAAGACGAGGAGGAAGAAGAAGATGCTCCCCCTCCAGGCGGGGGAGACAAGAAAAGGAAGGCCGCCCTAACTGGGGGGGCCGAAGGGTCCAAGAAGGGAAGGACTCTCCTTCCGGACAGCTCAACTGCCGCCGACGAAGACGAAGACGAGTGGTTGCCCAGGGCCAAGCCCCTAGGGAGATCGTAAGTATTCGGATACCAGAGTAACTCGTAGCATTCCTTTGTCGCACTGCTTTCCCTAACACCGAACATGATTATGCAGGCCGCCGCGAACCAGCATCGATGTATCATCGGACGGTTCCCTGGGCTCGTCGGACATGGATAGCGATCCAGTCC